AAAAAAGAACTGACAAATGTTAGAAGATGCTCCCATTTAGGGAATTAAAAGAAGAACTAATAAAGGAAACGTAAGGACACAGGAGGAAAGCCAAGGAAAAAAGTATTTCAAGATGGTGGTTAAGAATATCAAATGCTCCAGAGAAATTAAAGAGGATGAAACTTGGAAAAGCTCACTGGGCTAAACTACATCACTGGTGATTCCCAAGAGGCCCATGTCAGTAGAATGGTGAGCTCAGAAGCCTTGGGAGACAATGGCTTTAAGTAATGAGTGGAAGAGTTACTGAGGACTTTTTGGCACGAAGTGTGGTGACATTTGGTAATGATAGGGGTTTAAAAAGGGTAACCAGATCATAGGAGGACTTTTTAGATAGAAGCATGTTGTTGGCAAAAGTGACAGGCCCAGAGAATATAGTCAAGTTACAGCATTCAGCAACTACTTTGGCTGGAAAGGAAAACAGAGAGATGAATTGCCTGGAAAGGACGAAGCAGAGAAGCTGGCAAGAGGTGAGGGTAAACTGAGAAATAAAATACAGCCATCAGTTTCAGAAAGCTAGGCAAATCCTGCTTTCCCCTTAAGTGTTTCTCACATCAGCCAGGAGCTACAGGAGTTTGACCCATGGGGGCTATTCAGGCTTTGGCAGCCTCTCCTGCTCCTGGCCTGCCTTCACTCTTCCCTGTGCCATTCTCAAACTCTGCCACCCCTCAGCCTCTCTGCATGCCTACCCCCCCAGGCAGGAGAGGAGCCAGGAGGCTCTGGCTGAATGGGACCCATCCTGTCCTTGAAGGGGAGACTCTGCCAGCTCCCTAGTCTCTGAGGAGCATGCTCCGCAACATCTCTCCCTTACCCAAGCATGCTTAAAGAATGCTGGTTTTTTAGGGCTGGCCCGTGGCTCGCTTGGGAGAGTGTGGTGCTGACAACACCAAGCCAAGGGTTATGATCCCCTTACCGGTCATCTTTAAAAAAAAAATGCTGTTTTTTTAATGATCATGATGGTTTAAGGAGGTGGTGGCAAGGGAAGGAGAAGCAAAGGAAAAGAATCAGAGAGAAGGGAAGTCAGGGTTTCCAGGCTCCTCTGAGAAAATTCATTTACCTTAGTGCTTAAAAACAAAACGAAACAAAACAAAAACTCCGCTCAGACTTTGAAATGTGTAATGCAATATAGAAAAATCCTGCTTAGTTCAGGCATCACTGGAGTACTCATCAGCAGATTGAACAGCTTGAAATCTTTTGCTGTTCAAATAAAAGGAAAATAAACAAACAGACCTTTACTTGAACACAGTCTACTTCTTTCTCTGAACAGCTGAGAAAATTGAACTGCAGAAGCCTAAGTGGCTTCGCAGAGTCACGGAGCAGTTAGATGGGGAGCCAGGAAAAGCATCCCCATCTCCTGACTGTCCATGGCTCAGCACTAAGATGCCTCTCTGGTCCACTGGCTTCCTTTCCCCACAGATCAGAAGGAAACCTGCGCCTCATCAAAAGCTTTTACTTCCAAACACACCATCCCATTCCTCACTTGGGGGACCCACGCCCGTCTGTCTGTGGGGGTCTATTGTGCTCTCTGAAGGGTATCAGTTCCTAATCTGCTGGGGGAGCTTCTTCTTTGTAATCCAAACACTCAGGGGAATTTCAGCAGCTCAGCAAGTGAAGAGAGATGGTAACAGATAGTTTAAAACCTGACAGACACCTATATTTGGATAAATAAGAACCCTGGAGTCTCTGACTTTTGAATTGGCCGAGGGGAAATAATAAGTCTAGGGCAGACAAGCTTCCAACCTTCATTCCTTTTTCATACTTGCCTCCAAATATCCTTTGATTTTGCCCTACAGGCATGTTTGTTTTCAGGACTTTTTTTTTCTTTCTTTCTTGTGTGTGTCCCTTCCTTTTAGATTTATAGGTACATGTAATATTTATGTGTCAATGACCTTTCAAAGCAGTTTTAAAGATTCTGTTTACATTTAGGAATTTTCTTTTAGGTCTACAAAGTCCTTTGTGCTTTTTCCAGGAAAGGCACTCAGTAAGAACCAAAACAAACAATCAAATAACTCAGATTTGATCAGAGCCAAATCTCTTAGGAGAGAAAGAAAAAAAAAAAAAAAAATTAGCATTTGTTTTTGTTGTTTCCTTCCCCCTCCCCAAACCTGTCAAATATTTGAGCCATCCCTATTTCCAGTCTGGTTCAGAAGTGCTTGTTAGCTGTGTAAGTCTAAATTCTAAGCTGCATATTGGAGAAATCTTGACACTGGGAGATTTTGCAAGGCACGGTTCACAAATGGATCCAGAAGCTATGAAAACAATGTTTACTTCACCAAATCTCTGGGAAAACTCATGCCAGTATTCCACATTTGTCTCTTTGACCATGGAGGATGGAGAACTATTATTGCTCTGGCCAAATTTTACATGTCCCTTGCAGGGCTGGGGCCATATCTTTCAGGCTTGTGACTGCTATACCCTCTTAAAGATTTTTCAGAAGGCAGGGGATGCCTGTGGTGACTGTTCAGCACAAACCGACCAAATGGAGTCATATTTAACTGTTTGCCTGACCCCTCTCCTGTCCCTACCCTCCCACATGATTTGTTCTGTGAAAAAGTTATCACGGGTCAGCAAGAGCAAGGGCTTTATTTAGAGTTGAAAAATTCTGCATCGACATTTTATCTCTTCTAATTACTAGCTCTTAGATCTTGGGTAAGTTATCTAATCTGTTATTTGAGTTTCAATTATCCTGGTTGTATAATGGTGATAAGAGTACCTACCTTATATAACAGCTGTGAGGATTAGATGAGATAATGAATGTAAAAGCTCCTGGTAAAGTTCTTGACAATTGGTATTAATTGATATATATTAGCCACAGGCTAATATATGCCACAATTTATGCCACAGGCTCTCTGAGGTCTTTGTTAGACATCATGTGTTGCAAAATAAACCTCCACTAAAGATGGAATTAAATTGCAAATAAAGGCTAATCTATAAAATTGATAATTTTTGCTGAGTGGAAATGACTCTTCATTGGTTCCTGCCACAGAAATGAGGAGCCCATCTCTCCAGGACGGTGATTGCCGTAACCAAACTCATCTGGGTGGGGTCTCTTTCCCACCCAGAGTTCTGGCATTTCTAAGGCTTCTCAACCTTTAATAATAGAAATGACAGGGAAAGAATCTCATGGAACAATGACTATTACACTAGAAGCTTTGAAGTTATAGTATAAAAGTATCTGCAAGGTCAACTAGATGTGACTTCATGAATGTGCAACCATATTAACCCCTCTATTTTCTTCTACTACCTTTGGAGTAGGATTAAATAGTAAGGATTAAGTGTGACACTACATAAAATAATAGTAATAATAATAATAATAATAAATGAAATCAGGTGGCTAGAAGCTAGGATATCAAAAGAGTTGAGCCCTTACTTCCACCCATTCCCCCAAGACATTGTGCTAACTCTATGGTCTTCAGGGTTTCTGGGTTTTTTTATGGCAAAAACTCAACTTAGCAAGAGAACAGAATATTTGAAAATTTTTTGTATCAAATTTTGCTTGATACAGAATATTTGAAAATGAATTTCTAGCATTTAAGGAGATCCAAATCCTTGTCAACAAATATGACTTTACAATAGCAAAATATTTTTAAGACTTTTAAAATTAAAAACAAAAATCTAAACAGCAAAGCAAAATAAAATAAAATGAGGGCTATATGTCAGTCCTGATTATATTATTCCACTTATTAGGTAAGAGGATTAGTTCATTTAAGCATGAAGACATTTTTTTCCTAAAATTTTATTAGAAGTGATGTATCTCCTATTTATGAGGATCAAAAGAATAATATGGCCACTTACCCGCAGAGAAGAAAAATATTTGTTGAATGAATGAATGAATACTCCTATGGAATGGGAACAAGAAGAAAAGACAGGCTTTTGGATGCAAGAATCCTAAATTATTTAAATAAAATCTCTTTTTTGAGAGGCCTGAGATTGAGGTGATGACTTTCCTGAGAGAAAGCCTCTGTTGTTTTTCAGCTCCAATATCTAGGACATACAGGGACTCCATTTAAGTAAGGGCCAGTGACCCTGGGTTCCTTGCCAGGTCCTCAAGCAATCTCAGTGTTGAAAGATGTAAAGAAAAAGCAAAAAGGAAGTGTGTTGATTTAGCACAGAGAAGGGAAGGCTAACGTGGGCTATCATAAAACAGCAAAGATTGTAGAAAGGACAATACATCTCTTAAAATATGCTTAAACCATAGAGAAAGAAACTTAAGTTAGGCATAAAAAGGATTTTTTTCATCATGGTAAAAAAAATAAGCACACAACATAAAGTTTACCATCTTAATCATTTTTAAGTATACAATATAGTAGTTTTAACTATATGCACGCTGTTGTGTAATATAAAGGGTTTCTTGACAGTAAAGTTTGCAAACAATGTTGGATCTTTCTCTTGTGATTTGGTCAGAAGAGTATGGAATTCCCTTTGAAATTTTTTTTAAAATAAAACTTTAATAAAGCAGTCCATTGTTGATTATTTAAGTAATACTGTTTTATAGTTAATGTTTTTTTTTTCATTTTTCATTTTAATTTATCAATATACAATGTAGTTGATTTTTGTGTCCTTTTACCAATTCTTCCTTTCCCCCCTAGCTCCCATTCGAATTACTCATGGGCTGGTCAAGATAATCTCCTAAGGATTCTTCTAGTCAACAGCTCTGTTTAAGGCAGTAATACGGCTGGCCTGACACTGAGGAAAGTATAAGGGTTCTTCAAAAAGTTCATGGAAAAATAGAACTAAAAGATAATATGAATCTTTCCATGAACTTTTTGAGGTACTCTTGTATATTCAAGCTGCCTTGGGCAAAGTTAGAGATATGTATTTAGTCTTTGCATTTGCTGAAAATGAACTCCAGAGCATGTAAATCTGATTCTGTACTATTTGATTTCTAAGGTGGGGAGGGTTATAGCATTTTGCTTTTACCTGTAACCTGTGAAATAAATGCAGCTCCTTGCTGCTAATTTTACCTTGGGTTTATATGCGTTCAGCATTGACATCTCCACATTTTGACCTCTGACATGTTTTGGTTGCCTCTGGACTGGTGGTGATGATGACTTCTGGTTGTTGCGGCAGACACAGATGAAGAAGAAAAGTAAAGCAATGGCGAGGGGAATGGCAACGCTTGGCACCAGGATGTACAGGATTTCCATTTTATTCTTCTCCTTGGAATCCTTTGAATCTGGGTGCAGAAACGAAAATGAGCAAAAGTTACACTCGTTAAAATAATGTATTATATTACATTGCAACGTTTAAAATAACCTATTCTTCTATACACACAAATTCACTGTGAGGAAAAAAAAAGTCCATTGCTCATTACAATTTGTTTCTATCAAACTTTCAACATAATTTATTGAAGTTTAAAAGTTTAAAGTTCAAACGCTTAAAAATTGCAGAGGGACGTTATGAGGACGTTGTGTGTATGTGGGTCCCCTTCTGAAGTTGCTTCTCTTTAACGGCCAGCCTACATTTCTCTAACACCTTAAAAGTTAAACGCCACGTGAATGGACTGTATACATCCAGGGCTCTTCTTCCACTGGCTGCCAGCCCAGATCAACCATCGCAACATGGTGTTCCAGAACTCATGCCCTTGCCTAGGCTGGTCTGGACTTACAGGGCCAGTCTTGTATCTTCCAGAATCAATACTGCTAAAAAATCCTGGTCCTGGTGGCCAAAAAGCCACTGGCCTCAGAATATGGGGGCCTGAAGTCAGGGTCAGTCAGTCTCTGATGAGCTCTGTGACCTTAAACAACGCATGCACGTCTCTGGGCCTCACTTTTTCTCATCCACAAGTGAAGTGTCTAGTTTGGATGGTGTCTACAATTCCCTCCAGCACAGCAGCACTGTATAACTTGACACTTTTTTGAAACCCCAGAATTCTCCTTAAATGGTTTCATCTGAATCCAATAATTAGAGTACTAACACTTTGAAGTATGTTTGTGAAATCTTATACATCCACTTTACCATTGCTTGGAAAAGAATGTAATATATATTGAAGGACGACGCATACTTTTCTTTTTATTGGTTTGAATCTGCCCATTAAAATCATATACTTAGGGCAAATATTAATAAATTATTTGACTGGTAAAACAAACACAAGAATTATGGGAGAGTAATTAGAGGAGTTACATAATGACATGGTGTAATTACCAAGATCAGCTACCTTTCGTTAAGAAAACCGAAAGTGTGAAAATTCAGATTGACACACAATTCAGAGATGATTATTTACATTACAAAAGAATTAACCATGTATCCATTCAATTATCCTTCCACTCATTCAGTAAGTCAATAAACAAAAGCTACTATGTGCCAAACACTATTCTAGGTACTAGGAATATAAAATTAAATATGACATGTCCTCTGCCCTTAAGGAGCTCATGGTCTAGTAACGAAAATAGAGAAAAGATCATTACAATGTGTTGTTGTAAATGCCACAACAGAAGCATGACTAGAGTGATGAAAAGACCCCAAAAGTTCCTTTAAATAGTGAGTTTCCCTATTACATGTAAATGAGAATATACTATAAGTTTTATTTGTACACACCTTTTTTGGAAACCTTTTTGTTCATGTGAAATATAGCAGTAATCACATATTTTCCTTCTCACATGAACACTCAGCATTAGACATTAGAAAGGAGTACCAAACCTGGGTGTTGGGTCTGTGCTCTGTGGATTCACCCTTAGAAGGGTTTGGGGAGGGGTTAAATCTGGTTATTGAGCATAATAAAAATAATAACAATTTTAATACTTATTGAGTGTTTTCTACTGGCACAAAATCATGTTCGCTATTATTATTACTATAGACCATGAACTTATTTTATCCTCACAACTTACTCTATGAAGTAAGTGACATCCTTATCCCATTTAAGTGAGGAAGATGAGGGACAGAGTGGTTAAGTGACTTGCCCAAGGACATGCAGCTACTAAGTCAAAAGCTGGGATTCCTCCTGCTGGTCTTGCTTCACGACTCCCATTCTAGCTATTACTCTGCACTGCCAGCAATTTGAGAATGGCTGTTGTTCTCTCATGGTAGGGTTCCTCCTGTGTCATGGAGGTAGGAAGCATAAGGGGGATCTGAAAGGCACGGAGTAACACTGAAGCTTTGCCAGACTGGCTGCTTTTGAACTCCACACTTTATACACTGTGACATGTAAATACAGTTGACCCTTGAACAACATGGGGGTTAGCTGACCCCCAGACCCCCACACAGTTGAAAATCCATGTGTACCTTTTGACTCCCCCCCAAACTTAACTGCTAATAGCCTACTGTTGACCAGAAGCCTTACTGATAACCTAGTTGATTAACACATATTCTGTTATATGTATTATATAATGTATTCTTAGGTAAATGAATCCAGCATAAGGACCATTGTTAAAAAAAAAAAAAAGAAATTCGCTATGCTATGGCTTCATGAATTTCCTGTTCTCTTTTACAATGGTCCCTACACTGGATTCATTTATCTTGAGAAGGTGGGCGACTGCAGCTGCAGACCTCAATCCACAGTACATATCAAGCAATCCAGCTCTTTCTTGTAATGTTGTGACTTTTCTTTTTCCTTTTTCTTGGGAGCACTTCTAGCATTTCTAGTGGTACTTTGTATGGGTGCCAGGGTGTTATTCAAGGTTTACGGTATTGCACTGAACACAATGAAAAACACGTGATACACAGTAAAACACAATTTATTGGAGAGACGAACTGCTCACGTGATGATTAGCATCCCATGGCGTTGTAAGCGAATACTAGTAACACTTGAGCAGACTGCAGTTAGCAACAGTCGTGCAATATTCACTACAGGTAATTTCATGCAGTTATGATTTAACACTGCGTCTTTATATTTGTCTACATCTCTCTCGACTGTAAATGATGCCATGTGTGGTCTGTTGTGTGCTTAAGTTTAAATAAATTTTAATTAATAATAGATTTATGTATATTCTATGGTAGTAAGTGATCAAATACACTAGTATCTACATATATTTTATGCATTCATTACATATCTAACTCAAAATTTTTTTTCAATATTTCTAGGCTACATAGTTCGTCTGTGAGTTTTTTCAAATTGTCACAAATCTCCAAAATTTTTTCTAATATATTTATTGAAAAAAATCCAGGTATAAATGTACCTGCACAGATCAAACCTGTGTTGTTCAAAGGTTAACGGTATGTATAACCCAGGCATGGTTGGAAGCCAGTCTGATCATTGCTAGGTGCTTTAGTAATGATTGGGCCTGCATGTCTGTGAATAGATTTTTAAAAAATCATGAGTGAAAGAGTGTCTCCCATAGGGCCTAGTGTATGTATGTTTATGTATATATACACAAACATGTATACACTTTAGAGACAATATAGCAGAATAAGGAAAATGTACGTTTTAGAGTCAGAAATCTCTGAATACTGCTTTGGTCATTATCTAGGGGACCTTCAGTATGTGCTTAGCCACTCTGAGCAAACTCATCCGTAAAATGAGAATGATAACACCTACTTCTTAAAATTGTTGTAAACAGTAAATGAGTACCACAGAAAGTATCTATTCAAGTACCATACCTGTTACAACTCAGTCACTTGATGTTTACCCTTTCCCCTTAGAGTAGGAGGGAATTCAGGGATAAAAGTTTTGGCCTGTAAACTCTCAATAACCTTAAGCAAGGAACAACCTCACTAAACTCCTTTTCCTTATTTATTCAAAGGGAACGATAGTACCTGTTCTACAAATCTTGTTTGGTTCATGTGAGAATCAAATGAGAAACTGTTCATGAAAGAACCTTGGATAATTGAAAATTGCCATCCAGTGGTTGGATGCTATCATTATTATTAACATTATAAAACATTTTCAATTTTTTAGTACCCTGGGGGGGAAAATCTCTGTTGTTATTCTTGGATTTTCAGTGAAATCATTATAAGAGTAAAATGACTACAAAAGGAATGAGGCTAATTTGGTACTAATGTAACACTAGTCATTTTTCCAGTCCAGAATTTTAGCAACAAGAGAAAGTAGGGTCGCACCTGTCCGGCAAACAAAGGAGTCTATTCTGTATTCATTCTCTATCAGATTATTCAGGGAAGGCCTTTTATTGTAAATGGCAGTCTGGGACAAATTCCCCTTGTAGGTCTGCAGAAGAACAAACTTCAGGAAGCTAAATCCTTTAAACACAGTCAAACTTGGCTCCTTCTGATTGCACTGAGGATATGCAAACAAGCACAACGGGCCCAGTGTCTTCTTGCCAAGTGAAATAATGAAGTAGAACAATGTGTGGACATGTTGGAAGTGACAGAAAACAAATTCAGGCCTATTGTAACTGTACCATACAATGTACTTCCTGCCCCACACAGCATTTGGCCAGAAGGGGATTCAGTTCTACAATCAACCTTATTAATGAAAAATTAGAAAACTAACATCTGCCCAGTGCCTTTTTAATGTCCTAGCATTTTTATTCCTCATTTTAACTTGGTACCTTGGTGTTGTCTTGGTGTTACACATAGAGAAATTGAGGCTGAGAAAGGTTAAATAATTTGCCATAGTTAGACAGGCGTATAGTCTGGGTTGGAATGCAAGTCTGTCTGCCTTCAATGCTCCTATGCTTTTAAAATTGTATTACTAATAAAAATTATACTAAATATTATATGGAATTGTTTTCCATCATTTTTCTTATGATTCCAAGGTTCCTTTCCAATAAGGACTAATACCTGATGGGGATCATACTATTTTTAAAAAATCACATTGTTACAATAGACACTATTCTTACTATTCCCTTTAAAGAGTAATGAACACCTCCAATGCATTGCAGAGAAAACTGGCTGAAAATTAGAATGGTGAAGATTTTTAATACTTTGGAATAACTATTTAAAAGTTAAATGTACATATTAGTTACATCAAGTTAAATACCTGGGATTTTTGAAACCTACAAGTTAGTCTGGATCACTTGATTAATTTCCTTTTAAAAAATTAATAATTCAGTATCACAGTTTACATCTGACATTCCTATTTTATTTTTACAATGATATTCAATATTTTGGTTAGTAATTAAATATAATGGAGAAAATACTCCTTTCTTATCCTGGGGCTTAAAGCAAGGTAAACCTGATTTCTTATTCAAGAGGTACTTTTATAAAGTAAAACATCATCTGGGATATTGTTTTGAGTTAAAACAAGAAAATGCTTTGATTTTAAATGTGGCAAAGGCAGGA